GCTGCCGCCTGCCTGCCCGCCCGCCGCTGCTGAGGGAAGGAGCAGGAGGGAAAGGAACAAACCCCAAACCACTAATTAGAGATCCAGGGGGGGGATGGGGGATTGGGGACGACACTCACACAGGGAGACTGGAACACACTGACACACACACTCACAGACAAACAGGGCTGATGCATGCACATGTGCGCACACACAGTGCTACCCACACTACGGCCACTGTCATGAATGAACACAGACAACACATAAATGAACACAGTGACATGCTGGCAGCATACACACCACATGCGCACCCGAGCTGACCACGGAGATGCTTGCTTCCCCAGTCACCCACATCTAGATCAGGAGAGCAGTGTGTGTGTTCACGTACATGTTTGTGTGTGTGTGCATATGTTGTGTGGAATGGGAGGGAGGCCGCGCTCTGTGATGGGGTTTTCTACTGGCCAGACTGTTAGGTTCATTGAGGGAGGCTTCGAAGCAAGGCCTGGAGGAAGGGGTGGAGAAGGGCACAAGTTTGGGGACCCCCCCAGTCTTCTTTCCAGTGCCTCAGTTGCACTGCTAGGAAGTGATGCCTAGGCCTGCCACACCTTGTGTGGAAGAACGTGAATCTCCTGAGAAAATTGAAGGCAAACAGGAGGGAGGCTGGGAATAGGTCATTGGGTCGACTCATCCATGCTTACACCTAGCCTGTTTGGATTAAATCTCCCACAAAGGAAGTTGCTTAAAGCGCCATTAGTCCTCGCCAGTCAGAGCTACTTGGAGCCTCTCTTGGGTGAGGACTTAGGCTCCATCCTTTGATAGGCAGTTCTCTGTGATTATGCTTTCAGGGGGAGAAGGCTCCCTCTCTCCTTGCCAGACATCAGTGCCCTCTACAGCAGAAAGAATTAGCATTAGAACCCAAGTTTGACTTCCTATCAACAGGGAAAGAAGAGAAAGGAAATCAACCAAGTTGGGAATGGGAAACCCAACCAGCCAAATTAACTGGGCCCTGGGCCCTGGGGCAAGCTGCTGAGAGAGGAAGGGGCAGTCTAGACTCATGTCTCTTCTGCAGAGGGCCTGGCATGTCAGCCTCAGCACATACCCCATCCCCTTCCAGCCCTGCCAGGTCAGAGGACTAAAGCCCTGTCCTCACCCCTCTCCTTCTCCTCCCCACAGGCCCCTGGCCTTCTTTCTGGGTACCCGCTTCCCTCCTCCTTCCTCTCTCCCAGCTCTCCTAGCACAAAATTGAGAAGCAGAAGGTGGAGATGGCCTAGGGAGGGCTACACAGCAGTTCAACCTTCAGGCAGGGGCAAAGTTCAGGGTAGGACCCAGCAGTTTGGGATTCCAGCCCCAGCATTTGATTTCTCCCAAGGAACCCTGTGAGCCCGCGACTTTCAGAGAGGGGGTTAAGGAACCAGGTGGCTGTCAAAAGAAAGGAAGGAAACAAAACAAAACAAAACAAAACAAAATAAAAACAATGACCTGGAGACAGGGGAACAAACAAAACAGCGGATGAGAATCTGAAGAGACTTTACTGAGGGGTATAAGAGAGAGGGAAGAGGAAAAGAGAAGGCCAGGTATGTGACTTCGAAGTCCCCAGAGAGCAGAAAAAACTAAAAAGGAAAAGGAACAGGCTCAGGGAAACGAAGATGAGCAGATCAGGGCTTTGGAAGGACAGAAAAAATAGCCGGAGGCCTGGCCAGGTCTGGAGGAGGTGGAGGGTTAAGCGGCCAGGCAGGTGGGGGGCGGGGAGGCAGTATAAATAGCGCATAATTGTGTCGATGATTACACGGGCCACCCCACCCGTCTGTCTGCCCAAAAGGAAGTGCCCGTGGTGGGGTGTCCCTGTGACCTCTCAGTCTCCCCCTGGTGGGTGGAGCCTGATCCTGAGGTGCCAGATGAATTTCTGGGCCCCCATTCAGAAGTTGGGCAGAAGGGGAAGCTTTAGAGAAATTACCATATTGCCAGTAGGAAAGCTCAAGGCCAGTTAGAGCAGGCAGGAAACTGAGGCAGAGGAGAACTGTCTAGAAGCTAAGAAAGAGACAGGAGGTTAGAGCTCAAAACTAGATGGGGGAAGAAAGAGAAACAGATAGAAAAAAGAAACAGGGTTGGGGGAGGGTCAACCTTCTTTCCCCTGGAGGGTTCTAATCCTTCATTCTATCTGGGAAAGAGCAGAAATGCTCTCAGATCCAGAGTGCTAGGGGAGGAAAATGAGGAGCAGGGTCCCAGAAAGATAAGTCAATCACAGTAGGATTGTCCCTGGACACAGATCCCCGCCTCCCGGCAAGGTCTGCACCAAAGACAGACTGAGGGACTGCCTGAAGTCCCAGCTGGCTGCTCTGGGGACCCGGGGTCTGACTTCCTCAACACCCTTCTTAGGACAGTTCTGGACCCCAGCTGAGGCTCTGGCATTCGTAGGTCCAGCTCACCAACCACCTTCCCAGCACCCTCAGGAGCTGGGGCAGCAACTGGAAGCCCTGACCAAGGACCCACCTCCATCATCGCAGGCCTCCCTCAGCCCAGCCTCCCAGGGGGTGGGGCAGCCCAGGCAGAGGCGCCATGTGGCAGGGGCGGGTAGAGGCTGCGGCTCTGGTCCTTCCAGTATAAACCCCCTAGGCATCTGGTTTCTATCCACCACCCCCCATCACCCTGGGGGCCCCTCAGCCTCCGCCCATGGCCACCCAGACGCTAAGCTCCAAGAGATGGACGCCCCTGAAGGAAGGGGTGGGTTGGTGCCTTTCTGATCTCCCAGTGCCAGGGCTGGCTGAACCACAGGGACCACTCCCTTCCCTTTCTCCCCTAGGAGAATCAGGGTGCGGTTTCTAGGTTAGAGGGGGTCAAATGAATCTGGAACCTGCCTCAGTTCTCTCTAATAATTTTGGATCTTTTGGGGGAAGATTAGTGGGGGTAGAAAGTAGGAGACCTCTACCCCCTTCTCCCAAGGGAAACTACTCCTTCCACACCTACCACCCTTCTTGGCTGGGCTCCCTGATACTTCTAATCCAAAGGGATTCCTAACTCTTCCCTTGTTGCTGTTATAGAAGGTTCGGCTCCTTTAAAGAGAATCACTGGGGAATAGTGAACAGGGCCCCTGAAATAAAAAGGTTGACACATGTTCTTCTACATGTCTGATGAGTGACACACATTCAGATACACACTCTCGCACACACCCTGGGTAATACATAATTCATACCCACATATGTACTGTGGGGCACCCACACTGATACATCCCTGCGCTGTAAGGGTAGTGCCCACCCCGAGACACCATATCCCCCAATCAAGAAAATGCACACACCGGTCTACGTCCAGGCGTACAGATGCACAGTCCCCGAGACTGTAAGTCCCTCAAGTGGACTTACACAGACTCACATCTACACATATGGTACACGCCACATACACATGCATAGTCCTAACATCACAACGTTACAACTCTGGAGATCCCCGAGGTCTTCTAGAGGACATTGGGAACCTCTCTCCTTACAGGAATCCGAGAACAAGAGTGCCGTGGGGGCCACTGCCGGTCCTACCAATTGCTGCCTCCAACTCCTACTCGTGCGAGAACTTCCAATGTACCTTTAGGTTCCTTTGATCTTTTACTCCACACCCACCAGAGTTCAGAGACCCAGATGGCCCCAGCGGGAACCCTGGCATCCCCACTCTCACCCTACCCCCCCACCCCCGCTCTGCGGCCCTGCTGACTCATCTCTCCCTCTGTGGAGCTCCCCAACCACAGGGGCCTGGAAGAGAAGCTTGGAAAGTTGCGCTCATGTCCCGGGCCCCTGGTCTGGCCACTTACTACCCTCTCATGCACCCAGGCCCAGCCCTCGTCTCCAGTGGCGACTCCAGTGACAGAGAACACAGGGGACAGGAAAGAAGGCAGCCAGAGACAGGGGAACAGAAAGACAAGAGAAGAAATGTAGGGGAAAACAGAGAGGGTGGGGATTCAGATAGGAGACCCCAATGAACAGGTATTAATCTGGTAGTGTCCTCCAGCAGCAATAGGCTGGTGATCAGGGAAAGAAACTTGTTCTTTAAGGCCCTGTTCTCTATTCCCTGGAGGTTCTCTTTAAAGGAGCCGAACTCTAACAGCAACAAGGGAAGAGTTAGGAGTCCTTTTGGATTAGAGCTATCAGGGAGCCCAGCCTGGAAGGCTGGTAGGTGAGGAAGGAGTAGTTTCCCTCGGGAGCAATAGTCCTCCAAGAGCAGTAGGCTGGTGACCGGGGAAACTCGTTCTTTACGTTGAGAGAAGACTCACTCGTGGCCTCAGGGTTTAGAGACTACCAGTGCCCTCATCTGCATTCT